TAAAACTAGGCTGTCTGTCAAATAGTGGAAATAAGGTAATTCATACACCCAAATGCCAATTTAAACAACGCGAAGGAATGCAGATAAATAAAAGTGGAAAGAAAAAGACATGTAATAAGTTTGCGCTTTGACCTTGGGGCCAAATGCAAAAAAATTCACACTGACAACGAAATGATGGATCGAATGGTGAACCAGCAAAAGAACTCACCTCCGCCAACATGGACGTCAAGATGGAGGCTGCGACGAGCTGCGACAACAACACGTCGATGTTCCTCCTCCCGACGCTTCACGCGTAGACGCACCGCCTTCCAGTCGAGGGCTTGACGATCAAGATCCTCGAATTGTGAGATGCGAGCAAGCATCTTACTTGAGAGCCGGGAGGGATTGACGCTTGCAGATGCCGGAGGAGAGGTAGACGGTGTTCGCCGTGGAATGACCTTTGATGGCTAGAGGCGATGAAAAGAGAGAAGATAACTGGTTAATTGAGGTTGCACCATCCAATCAGTCAATCGAAAGAGGGGATTCAAAATGGTTGATAACGTTTGTCCAAGATGAGTGTTTAAGCCGAGCCGGGACTGTTGACATCACGACTTTAAAAATACATCGTATCTCAATGATGAGAGAGGTTATGGCCGGTGTCAGGGACCAGCCCACTCGTCATTAATCAGGTTGATTTTGGCGTATGGCAGAATGCAGTAGTGATGCAATCCATTGTGAACAGCACTGTACAACCGATGGAAATTCAAAGGACACTTCAAAGGCATGACGCGGTCTCGGGTTACCCGTCTTTAGGACACGTAAGTGGTCTCTGGCAAATGAAAAAAGGGTGTAAACTGATGAAAATGGAAACACTTCGCGGGTGAACTCAAGCACTGACGAACAATCCACTATTTATGTTTGAACGAGTACGTCAGTACAGCAGAGGACTCGATTGAAGAGGAGACACGGATTTGATAATTTAACTTCTTTCAAAGTTCTGATTCGACTTCAAGGCTTCTTAATCAAATGAAATGCAAATGGATCAAGTTTTAGGTGTTTAATTTTGTAAGTAGGAGTATCAGAACAGTCATTCGCCAAGGATTTCATCCTGATCATCATTTTAGGCGTAAGAAGCATTGGTAATTGCACCAGGGAAGGTATACCCCTGATCGCCTAAAGTAAAGCCTCGATCTCTTATTCCAAAACGAATAAAAGTATACACAAAGCCCTACAGTGAGTGAGGGCAAGTGAGATCCGTTTTTTTCCTGAGATCATTCTCAAGTCTTCACGGTCATAATTGCGACTGACTGGAGGTCAGATAACACCGGCACAACGACTCTGCAGAAGTCAGTCAGTGCTCCCTGACATAGAAGTCTACAAGCACTAGTTCTTGTTCGTAAGCACAATTTATGCCCACGTTTGGAAACCAGATTCGCTCCACAATGACATCTCTTAACACTTGTTAACCACATAAACATCTAATTTGTCAGGAGTGATTAGTCACATGACAGGTCTGAACACGATCCACTGAAATGCTTCTCGATTTCACAACTTTAAGTAAAAAGCCGTGCAAAGGTGTGTCTAATACAATTTCTGTCACCATCGAGCCGTGAGAGTGCTGCTCAAATAAAAGTAGCACCGTCTTGAACAGCAATTCGGGCCTCTACTTGCCCCACTTTGACACCACGACCCATCAACATCATCATCTCCATCGTAAGAGAACAACTCAACCAAAGTATTTCAACTTCAAAGACTGGAGGCAATTGATGACAACATT